CCTAATGACTGTTTATGTTGAACATCTTTTCATGTACCTGTTGGCCATTTGTATGCCTTCTCTGGAGAAATGTCTATTCAAATCCTTGTCCATTTGAAAATTAGATTATTTGTCCTTTATTGTTGAGTTATAAGGGTTCTTTATACAGGGTGGGGCAAAAGTAGGTTTACAGTTATTTGTATGGAAAATAATGCAATAATTAATAAATAACAATACAAGAGTAAACTCTGTGTTTCACAACTGTAACCTGATTTTCGCCCCACTCTCTATTTTCTAAATACCAGAACTTTATCAGATATATTATTTATGAATAGTTTCTCCCATTCTTTTCATTTTCTTTATAGTGTATCGTTGCTCAAGAGTTTTTAATTTGATGAACTACAATTTGTCTATTTTTTCTTTGGTTTCTTGTGCTTGTGGTGTCATATTTAAGAAATCATTGCCAAATCTATGATTACAAAAATTCACCTATAGCTCCTTCAAAGAGATTTATAGCTTTAGTTCTTACATTTAGGTCTCTGATCCATTGTGAGTTAATTTTTGTATATTGTGAAGTAGGGGGTCCAAATTTATTCTCTTTCATGCAGATATCTATTTATCGCAGCATCATTTGTTGGAAAAAGTTATTTTCTCCATTGAATGAACTTGGTATCTTTGTCAGAAATTAATTGACCATAGATGTATGGGTTTATTTTTGTACTCTCAGTTCTATTCCATTCATCTATAGGTCTATCCTTATGCCAGTACCATACTGTACTGTCTTTATTACTGTAGCTTGTAGTGCATAACACTAACTGAAACTGTAAGCAAACATAATTGGTCGGGAGGATCTATGGGAGGAGCTAGGGCTGATGACAGCTCTCACACTCTATGTCATCAGGAGGACCCTGCTGGAAGAACTGTTTATAATAAAGCGCTCGGGTTCTGATTTCCCCGTCCCTTAACTTCCTTTTTCCTTCTATAAATACCCCTCGTCTTGGCACGCAGGCCAGAGTGTGCACGTGGCTTGCCATGTCTGCATGCACTGGGTTGCAACCCTTCCTTTTTCATGAATAAGTCCTTTTTGATGACAGAATACCCAGCTGATATTTTTCAGTCAACAGTAGTTAAGTTTTTCCCTGAGCAGTGGTTGGAGCGTCGGCCCCATGGACTGAAGGATCTTGGGTTCAATTTTGATCAAGAGAATGTGCCCCGGTTTCGGGCTCAATCCCTGGCCCTGCAACCACTCTCTCTAAAAGTAAATGGAGAAAAAGTATCCTCGGGTGAAGATTTTTTTTAAAAAGTTTTGAAATTAGAAAGTGTGAGTCCTCAAATTTCATTCTTCTTTCTCTTTTTTTAAAAAATGTATCTTTATTGTTGAAAGTATTACAGATGTCCCCTGTTTCCCCATTGACCCCTCCTCCCCATCTCCATCCTTTACCCTGGTCTTCACCCCCTATTGTCTGTGTCCATGGGTTATGCCTATCCAATATAATGAAAGCCTAATATGCAAATCAACCAAACGCTGGAACAACCAGTTCTATGATGTGCACTGACCACCAGGGGGCAGACGCTCAACAGCTGGCAAGCGCAGTGGTAGTGGTGGGAGCCTCTCCTGCCTCTGCAGCAGCGCTAAGGAGCGGCCAGCCGAGCAGTAAGAAGCAGCGAGCAGGCAGGCAGTAAGGAATGAGGGGTCCTGGAGTGCAAGAGGGCACAGGCTAGGCTGAGGGACCCCCACCAAGTGCACGAATTTTGTGCACCAGGCCTCTAGTATGCATATAAGTTCCTCAGTTAATCTCTTCCCTCCCCCATCCCCTTTCCCTCTGAGGATCTTCACTCTGTTGCATGTTTCCATGTCTCTGGATCTATTTTGTTTGTCAGTTTATTTTGTTCATTAGATTCCACATATAAGTGAGATCTTCATTCTTCTTTTTCAAGATTATTTTGGCTATTCTGGGTCCCTTGCGTTTCCATTTAGAATCAGTTTGTTCATTTCTGCAACATTGTTGAACAAGCCCTAATCCCTGGGATAAACCAGACTTGGTCATCATGTATTATTACCCTTTTTGGAGATTACTGAGTTCAATTTGCTAATAGAGTTGACCCTTGAACAATGAAAGGGTTTCAACCTATCCCCTCTCATGTAAATGAAATCCACACAGCAAACTTTACTAATAGCTGACTGTCGACCAGAAGCCTTACCAATAACATAAACAGTTGATTAACACATATTTTATATATGTTTCGTATTGTATGCGTTTGTGACACACTTTTTTCTTCATTTTTTCAATATTTCTAGGCTATACAGTTTGTGAATTTTTCAAACTGCTGCAAATCTCCAAAAATTTTCCCAATATGGTATTTATTGGGGGGGGGGGGCATGGATCTATACAGTTCTAACCCATATAGTTCAAGAGTCAACTGTATTTTGTTGAAATTTTTTAAATCTTTATTGGATATTGGTCTGTAGTCAACGAAGGGTCTTAAACTGAAAACTGATAAATAGTTTCTCACTTAATAAGCTCACCCTCCTTCTATGGATTAGAGCAGTGGTTCTCAACCTTCCTAATGCCGCAACCCTTTAATACAGTTCCTCATGTTGTGGTGACCCCCAACCATAAAATTTATTTTCGTTGCTACTTCATAACTGTAATTTTGCTACTGTTATGAATCATAATGTAAATATCTGATATGCAGGATGTATTTTCATTGTTACAAATTGAACATAATTAAAGCATAGTGATTAATCACAAAAACAATATGTAATTATATATGTGTTTTCCGATGGTCTTACGCGACCCCTGTGAAAGGGTCGTTCGACCCCCAAAGGGGTCGCGACCCACAGGTTGAGAACCGCTGGATTAGAGGGAGGCAACATGGGACTTGGGAGACCAGTCGGAAGGTTACAGCTGGATCTACAGAAAAGATGACGATGGCCTGGACCAGGCTGTGGCAGTAAAAATGGAGGGAGAGGGTAAATTCGAGATGAATCTGTTTCCTATCCTTCTCCTCAGTGTTTTCTCCCACCTCCTCCCCTTCCCCCTACACTCACACTCCGGACTCACACTTTCTCCTTCTGACCATTTCCTTTCCTCACTCTTCACTTCTCTAGTTCCTCCCCCTTACGCTCTGCCTTCAGGAAGCCTTCCCTAACGCTCTCCTGTGGGTGCCCCTCCCATCTGCTCCCATTTGACTGTTCCAGTTTAAGTATTTATCACCCTTGGTTGTAATTTGCATGTGGCGGGGAAGTTTACCAGTTGGCCTTCCCCACGTGATTCTGGACCCCACACACAAAACAGAGAAGTAGCAACACACTCACCCTTGACTTCCTGGAATCCCCACACATTCTCCCCAACCCGACCCCTTCTGTGTGTCAGGCACTGGCGCCATCAATGGTCAATATGTGTTGGTAACTGAAACCGGTTTGGCTCAGTGGATAGAGCGTCGGCCTGCGGACTGAAAGGTCCCAGGTTCGATTCCGGTCAAGGGCATGTACCTGGGTTGCGGGCACATCTCCGGTAGGAGGTGTGCAGGAGGCAGCTGATCGATGTTTCTCTCTCATCGATGTTTCTAACTCTCTCTCCCTTCCTCTCTGTAAAAAATCAATAAAATATATATATTTTTAAATATGTGTTGGTAAAACCTTTAAAGAACATATGAAGAATTTGACTATTGACAAAGAATTATGACAAAATCGTTCTGGTACAGAGCAAACTGGTTTCATCCACACATGATGCATTAATTGCAGACCAAAGAGAACCACAGATGAAAATTAAAGGAATACACACAGAACTACAGTATCATGGATACAGTCCTATTTAAGGAATTTGCAAGGATGGTTTTGACTAAAGATTTTTGCCTCACACACCACATAAGATGCACCCACAGTGCTTCTGCAGGGGTGATATTTAAAATAGGGAACTGTTAGGACTGCTCAGGCTCTGAGCAGGGTCCTAGCCGGCGTAGGTCCTAGAGGTCCCCTGAGGTGCCCTGCCTGACTTCATAGTGGCTGGGGAAGTTCAAAGAGTACTGGGGCCCTAGCTGGTTTGGCTCAGTGGATAGAGCGTTGGCCTGAGGACGAAGGGTCCCGGGTTTGATTCTCGTCAAGGGCACGTACCTCAGTTGCAGGCTTCACCCTAACCCCAGTCCTGGTCAGAGTGCATTCAGGAGGCAACCAATCAATGTGTTTCTCTCACATTGATATTTCTCTCTGTCTTTCCCTCTCTCTTCCACTTTCTCTAAAAATCAATGGAAAAATATTGGGTGAGGATGAAAAATAAAAAAAGAAGTACTGGGGAAGGGACTATTTTTGCAAGACAGGGGCCACCACAGGGAAATATGACAGATATGGAATTATTTCAATGCTTTAATAACTAATATGCTTATATGATTATGTACTGTCAAATACCAGCTCCGTATACAGGTAAACTCAGAGAGAGCTCTGTACAGGTCTGTGTTATTATTTACTAGAGGCCCGGTGTATGAATTCGTGCACTGGTGGGGTCCCTCGGCCTGGCCTGCTGGGATCAGGCCGAAACCTGCTCTCCAACATTCCCTGAGGGTCCTGGATTGCGAGAGGGCACAGGCCAGACCAAGGGAGCCCACCCGTGTACGAATCCGTGCACTGGGCCTCTAGTATGCATATAAGATCTTTGGTTAATCTCTTCTCGCCCTCCCCCCTCCCCCTTTCCCTCTGAGATTCATTAGTCTGATCCATGTTTCCATGCCTGTGGTTTCCACTCCTGTGTTGAGCATCTGCCCCCTGGTGGTCAGTGCGCATCATAGCTACAGGTCAGATGGCCGGATGGTTGGCCGGTCTCTTAGACTTTTATATATATAGATAGATCGTTGTGAGAGTATTCTCAAATGCAAAGCTGATTCTGTGAGTCTCCAGCCCAAGGCCCTCTGAGGTGCCTTTATAAACCTCTGTCACACATGGCACCTGGCGATGCCACCCTGGAATCTCTCCGTCCCCAGGTGCCTCTATGTGCACATTCATGGTCCACATGCTCTGCACTCACCTGGCTGCCCTCGATAATCGCGTTGGCCTCCCAGGCACCAGCGCTCTGTCTGAACATTGCCACCAGGCCAGTGTGCTGATATCGAGGTGCCCCCAAGGCCAGGGTTTGCACCCGGCCCCGCGAGATGACTTCGGCAGCATAACCTAAAGGTGATATCAAGAGAAGTGTGTTTTCTTGTAGGCCCTGCCCCCTCTAGCAGGCCTACGCTTGATAGGTTGGGGTAACTGGACCCCGCGCTGTACTTCTCTTTGTTAACATAATTAAAACAAAATTTTGAAATTTCTGTCTTTAAACCTATCCCAAGGGCCTATGAAAGTTCCAACCACATCAGGTTGAGTTGTACCACATCCTGACCCTGTCCTCCCCACTTACCCAAGTAAGCATCGTTCATGTCTGAATCTACCCTGGTTGTGTTGATGAAGGTGACTTTATCCTCTGACATATGCAGGAAGGCTCCACCAGCCCAGTCAAAGCTCCACACAGCACCCAGCAAGGGACCATTCTGAGAAAGAGAATAGGATGAGATTGAACAATCTATAGCTTCAGTGCAATCCACATCAAAACTGCAATGGTATTTTCCATAGAAATAGAACAAACAATCCTAAAATTTGTATGGATTCACACACACACACACACACACACACAAAAGAAACCCACACCTAAATAACTAAAACAATTTTGAGAAAGAACAAAGCTAGAGGCACTACACTTCCTGATTTCAAACTATATTGCAAAGCTATAGTAATCAAAATGTATGGTATTGACATAAACATAGACACATAGACCAATGATACAGAATAGAGAGCCAGAAATAAACCCATGCATATGTGGTTACTAATTTACAACAAATAAGCCAAGAACATACAATGGGGAAAGGACAGTTCCTTCAACAAATGGGGAAGGGGAAACTGGACAGCCACATTCAAAAGAATGAAACTGGACCACTATCTTACGCCATTCATAAACATCAACTCCAAATGAATTAACTATTTGAACATTAGATCTGAGATAAAAAAAACTCCGAGAAGAAAAGAGAGGTGGGAAGCTCCTTCACATCAGTCTTAGCGATGGGTTGTTTGTTTGGTTTTATTGTTGTTGTTGGATTTGACACCAAAAGCAAAGGCAACAAAAGCAAAAATAAACTAAGGGGACTGCATCAAAAGCTATGCACAACAAAGGAAACCATCAATAAAATGAAACAGGCAACCAATAGGATGGGAGTAGACATATATTTCAATCTTATGTCTGACAACGGGTTAATACATCCAAAATAGATAAAAAAAACTCATACAACTCAATAGCAAGAGAACAAACAACATGATTTAAAAATAGGTAGAGGATCTGAATAGACATTTTTCCAAAGAAGACATACAGATAGCCAAGTGGTACATGAAAAGTGCTCAACAGCACTCAGCAAAATCAAAACCACCTCACACCTGTGAGACTAGCTGTCATCAAAAAGGTAAAAAATAACAAGTGTTGGTGAGGATGTGCACTGTTTGGGAATGTAAATTGGTGCAACCACTATGAAAAACAGTATGGAATTTTTTTCAAAAAATTAAAAAAAGAATTACTATACAAACCAGGAATTTCACTCTAGGTATTTATCTGAAGGAAACGAAAACACTAAGTCAAAAAGATAGCCGCACCCCGTGTTTGCTGCAGCATTATTTACAATAGCCGAGACTTAGAAGCAAACTAAGTGTCTATCAGTGGTTGGATGACAAAGGAAATGTGGTAGATACAATGGAATATTTCTCAGCCATAAAAAAAGAAGGAAGAGACAGAGAAGCATCAATCAGACCGTCAGACCTCAGAGGGAAGGTAGGGGAAGGTGGGGGTAAGGGGCAGAGATCAACCAAAGGACTTGTATGCAGGCATATAAGCCTAACCAATGGACACAGACACCAGGGGGGTGAGGGCATGAGTGGGGGGGTGCAATGGGGGGATAAGGACACATATGTAATACCTTAATCAATAAAGAAAAAAAATTTTTTTAAAAAGAAGGAAATCCTGTAATTTGCGTCAACATAGATCAGTGATGGCGAACCTTTTGAGCTCAGTGTGTCAGGATTTTGAAAAACCCTAACTTCACTCTGGTGCCATGTCACATATAGAAATTTTTTGATATTTGCAACCATAGTAAAACAAAGACTTATATTTTTTATATTTATTTTATATATTTAAATGCCATTTAACAAAAATCAACCAAAAAAATGAGTTCACGTGTCACCTTTGACACGCGTGTCATAGGTTCGCCATCACTGACATAGATGGACCTGGAGGGCATTAGGCTATGTGAACAAAGTCAGACAGAGAAAGACAAACACTATATTATCTCACTTACATATAGAATCTAAAGAACTACTCATAGATACAGAGAACAAATTAATGGTTGCCAAAGGCAAGGGATGGGGAGTGGGCAAAATGGATAAAGGTGATCAAAAGGTACAAACTTCCAGTTATAAAATAAATAAGTCCTGGCGGTGTGATGTACAGCATGGCGACCATAGTTAATAATACTGCATTGTATATTTGCACATTGCTAAGAGAATAAATCTTAAAAGTTCTCATTCCAAAAAAAAAATTGTAACCATGTGAGGTGACAGATGTTAACTAGACTTCCTGTGGTTGTCATTTCGTTTCCCAGTGTACACACATATAGACTCATTATGTTGCAACTGAACAGGTTGACAAAGAAGCAAGAAAGGACCACTGCTGATCACCAAAGAGGTGCCTCCCAAAAACTACCCATCACCGAGAAGAGCCCCCAACCCCTTTGCCTCTTCTCCCCCTCCTTCTTACCACTCCCACAACATAACGAAGGACACTTACGGAGGTGATGGAAGCACTGAAGCCTTCCTGAGACATCTCGTACTCGAAGGTGCTGCTACTTCCTGACTGAGTACCTGTGAGGAGGAGACCTCTCCACATTAAAGAAGGCAGAAGAGCCCGGCTGGCGTGGCTCAGTGGTTGAGCATCGACATATGAACCAGGAAGTCACTGTTCGTTTCCTGGTCAGAGCACATGCCCAGGTTACAGGCTGAATCCCCAGGAGTGGGTGTGCAGGAAGCAGCTGATCAATGATTCTCTTCATTGATGTTCCTGTCTCTCCCTCTCCCTTCCTCTTTGAAATCAGTAAAAATATATATATTAAAAGAAGGCAGAAGAGCCTGGAACACGGGCTGGAAATTCAAATGCTATGGTAGCCAGTCCCCACCCCTCCCTTAGGATGGGGCTGGACTGCAGTGGGCAGGGCCCAGAGCAGCTCTGAGGTGGAGATAACTATCGGAGTCTGCAATAGAAAACGGTCTCCAGTAAAACTACACTGCAAAAACTGGGAACAAAACAAAACGGAAGAGTGAAAAGTTGAAGAGACAGAACCTGAAGAATTTGTAGTGGAAAAAGTATCGGACCGACGCTGAGCAAATGGTCAGTGGGTCATTCCCTCGGGACTCGTAGGCTGACAATGCTTGGGAACCTGGAGGACATTTAGATGGCCCAGAGCTCACAGAAGCATTTCTTCATTCTCAAAAAGCTGGTACAGAAAGAAAATCTTTATCTGCAGTGAATCTGATGACAGTAAATCAAAGACAAGAGCTGCTGCTGATAAGCCACGTGGCTGGCAGAGGTGTGATCCTGAAGGACCACTCGTGCCAGAGACAGTGGAGAGTCAATGTTTCTCATGAGACAGAGGATGCAGACGTCGTGGATGTGGTGCTGGCAAAAGAGGCAAATAGGAAGTGTCCTCCATTGTAATTGCTTCTGATGAGGAGAGTCTGACTTGTCATTCTTGTCCCGAAGATGAAGCCCAATAATTGCATTGCTTTCCATATATAGTTATAGTTGGTTATGGTTATAGTTATAGTTGGTTATCCACTGAGCCAAACCGGCCAAAATGGTCTGGTCTTAAATTCTTAGCTCAGTGATGAGAATCAAAAGTAAACCATC